CATAATACAATATGTGATTATCATTGGTATAAGTAAGGTGTCATCATCATCATATATCAAATGGAGGACAATTTACATGGCCATTTTGTGATACAAATTTTATCTTTGAGTGTTGTCACGATGTCTTACAAGTAACCGCAGCAAAGGAGTAAGATATTTTTTACAATAACTTACAAATTTCTCGCACGCTGATTGGTTATTTTTTATCATCAATAAGAGGACGGACAGATAAAGCTGGCGTCAACGAGCGCGCGCTCTTTCCGTTGGTTGTTTTGATCACTAAAAATCGTTTTTGTTATTGTAAAAAACAAATAGACATAAGTTTTTAATGTGTCTATTCTCTTATTGACCATAAATACCGTCATCACATTGTCAAAGTTTGACGGGTTTGGTCGCTGGTTAGAATTGTGAATTCACAATGTGAATTGAGTTTGTTTGATGTGTTGTTCTCTCCTATGCTAGGGTTTTCTCCGGATTCTCAACACATGAATTGAGCGTTGTGTGCGTGAGTGGAAAGTGTCCCCAATCAGTGCAAAAGGGCTAGAATAACTAGATACTTAAATCAAGAGATTTATTTACTTACTTACTTACTTACTTACTTACTTACTTACTTACTTACTTACTTACTTACTTACTTACTTACTTACTTACTTACTTACTTACTTACTNTTACTTACTTACTTACTTACTTACTTACTTACTTACTTACTTACTTACTTACTTACTTACTTACTTGTGTGTATAATAGTATCGTTATCTATCTTTTAGAACCGTACTGGAACAGTTCGCCCTATTGGTATCAAGAGTAGCATCAAGGGGAGACTCCATCTTCGTATTGCAAACATAGGACATCACAGTGAAATGCCTACTGCTAGATTAGGTAACCTAACCTTGTACTCGTAGGTTATTATCATATAAGCTGGTTATTTTCCTTGACGGGCAGGGTCTTGTGTTTAATATATCCCAACTTGAATCATCCTCGTTGATTTAAAATCGGCCTGAAAACCACAAAGAGAAGAAAGACGTGAATAAATAGGAGCTGCAAATGTATTGTTCATTCTTTAATTGCTCATTTCCAGGTACAGTGCCAAAAAAGCGTTCTCATGTGGTAATGTCCGAAACAATTACTGGTTCATTCAATGGTATGGGTTCCACTGTAGGCAGAAAGGATAGATGTAAAGCAAAGTTACTAGCAGAATGTGATGCGGAATTAGCTTCAGTGCTTTTTAGTCGGCAAGGAAAAGTGAATAAGGATGATAAATCTATCAATCAAGATGACGCCATTAGACAAAGGTAAAACATATCAGGGTTAGGGGTCATCAAGTGAAACAAAAGAGCTAGTTCCCGTGGGGGAGGGGGAGGTACTGTTGCCCGTTTAGGGTAGGGATGTGCCGCTGAGCCCACTGAACCCTGACCCTGTTCCAGAGTAAAATCGCTGAAATTCATACCCTGTTCCAGAGTAAAATCGCTGAAAACCATACCCTGTTTGGCGGCACGTACCCGTATAGCGAATATAGGGCAGTATCCCCCCCGGGAGCTAGTTTTTGATATTCTATATTACTTCACAGAAAGCTTCAAAGAATGCAGGCTGTTCGTCAGACAACAGGAGTCAGTGATAACCTTCCACTTATAGTGAGTCAGTTTTGTCACTCCTAACCTAAATAATCATCGCTTAGCTTATGATATCGACTGCATGTCCACATGTGCACTTATAGTGAGTCAGTTTTGTCACTCCTATCCTAAATAATCATCACTTATCTTATGATATCGACTGCATGTCCACATGTGCATTTATCTCATTCTTCCTAACAGATCAAAAAAGAAGAAAAACTTCAACGAGCTAGGGACTTGAAGACAATACAGTTATACAGGTAATATCTATTATCATGCTTGCAGTACACTCAACAAAATTACTCGACTCTGATTGGTCGAGAGGAGTACAATTATAGCGTTAATCCGTAGGAGTACCGAACTAAGTCGCTATGGAAACACGGCCAAAACAATGTCAACAGCGGCAAAACAAACAAAAAAAAAAAAAAAAAAAAAAAAAAAAAAAAAAAAAAAAAAAAAAAAGCCGTAAAAACTAATAAGAGCTAATCTTTWTTATGCATTTCAGTTGCGCGATGGACTGAAAATCGGCCGCCAAATAGACAAAGATGAACGGCGTCGCTTTGCATTTTTTACTGAAATTTTGTTGAGTGAACTATACATATTATGATCATTGATTTTTATAAATTCTATCCTCTAAAAGTATTCATTTTTTATTAATTTCGTCATCAACATTATTATTGATATTATCATTATGATCATCAATAGGATCATTATAATTATTATTATTTCTTTTGTCTTTTTTTCGATTATGACTTCAGAGACAAGAACAAACATGAGGGTATAGTCTCGCTTCTGTCTGCCACCATTACTACTACTTATACGATCTACCCATCCTTTGGTACTGCCGAGTTCTTTGAATTCGCTATTAGAAATCCATACGATATAGAACAGACTATAGCTATACAGTGCGATGACAAGGAACTCATGTAAGTAGTTCAGTTGTTCGTTATGCCCATATACTTATATACATTATGTACACATCCATTCTAGAAACGTACTACTTCAAATTCTATTATGTTTCTAGGGTAATAACAGATACCAGAGAATGGAGGCATTTCAAGAAATTCACAGAAACGTATTCACGTTAGTATCCCTTGTTGTCAAATTAATTAGGATACGCAAGATTCAACTACGTAACAACTTGTTATTGGTTGTCTTGCCCAAACATTTATGCATGTTTCTATCATGGATGTTACAGCCATGGAAGAAAACATGTTTAACACAGCAGATACAACATTCCCTGAAGTGTTTCTGCGTCCACGAGAAAGCGTTCACATCCCATTTAAATTCCAAACGTTCAAAGCAGATCATAGTGTTCCACAACAAGTAAGTAGGCTTGTACATTTGCATACACTGTAAGCTTTTACCTCCTCTTTTTAGTTTTAATCAAATCGTGTTGTTTATTGCTTCCATTTCATCTTCCATTTTAATATGCCTTCCTCTCATTTCAATTTTCCACCTCTCCACCTTTATTCTATGATTTTAGTACCACTACTTCAACTTTGTTTACCAATGCTAACGTCAGGAATTTCGTATCCATATATTTTTTTAAATAAAGAGAACATAAATCTCTGTTAATTTTGAAGGGTCCATCTCATCCATTCAAACAGCAAATCAYCACGTTTAAAACGTTTGCGACCGTCGAAGACAACAAGCTTCAGCCTCATACAGTTAAGGTACACGGGTGTCTTTCGAAACATCGTACGATAATCCAGGCATGGACTAGCTAGCAGATAGTCTGTTGTCATACGTACTTTGTTTCACCTTACTATGGATACTGTATATGTACTGGATCAAACTAATGGTATGTTCATAACTTAGTCATGTAGTTTTATATTTCTCTAATGAAGGTATCATTCGTAATGAAAGACAGCCGACCAATTGCCATACTAAACCTGAACATAGAACCAAGGCCACACATTATCGACCAAACCTTTCGCTTCTACCATCCGGAGCAATCTTTCCTAAAAAAGTCCATTCGGTTGCCTCCATGGCATTCTTTACCAGGTAAACTCACTGATTGATGTCTTTGTGCAGCTAATCCTCTGGGCCCAGTTGTTCAAAGCCCGATTAGTGCTAATCCTGGGTTAACTCTTAATAAGACCTATAGAGTTAATCCTGAATTAGCGCTAATCCAGCTTTGAACAACCGGGCCCTGATGTAATGTTGTACTATATCATTAAATTATCTTTTTCAACGATTGATGACCAGACCCTTCTCAGATTCTCACCCTTGCATCCTTGGTTCCATACCAGATATAGTACTCATGGTAAGATGAATGTGTTTGACGTTAGGTGCTCCTGTGCTTGATGATCAGGCTCCTCCTCAGGTTCATGTTCGATGTAGTGATGTGAACGCTGTTTGTGAGGCAAGGAGAGTGGTAAGTGACCAGTAATATCTTGCTGATTGTGGAGCACTAGGTGTGATGTACTGTCAATATGAATGAATAACTCGATATCATATTTATATTTTTTTTAACAGAAGCCTACAGAACCCCAAGATGTATTCCTCAAAATTGCCTGTGGTCCTTCTCCTTCTGTCAAGCGGTTTTTTGTTCTTTTGTACATGTAAGTAAACATGCTCACGTTCACTTCCTTAGGGAAAAAGAAAGCTGAAGACTACTGCTATAAGCAAATAAAAACAAAACAAATAAAAACGACAACAACAACAACGAAAACGAGAAAATCGTATGGCTCACACTAAGTGAAAAGACCACCCATTTTTTGTCTGTAATAATTAACCAGCACTGTAAAAAGACGCATTTGCAGAACTGGCAAGTAATCCGTATACACCTATTTGAAAAAACGTCGGGTTAAAAAAAGGTTATATCATCAAAGCTAAGACCGAAGGGGAGCATGGGAAGACAAAATACCGCAGCCAAACAGCTCTCCAGCGTAAATCTTCGGAGAATGGCTTTGCCATGTTAATCTAGGTCAACCGACTTTGCTCTACTGTGGATTTTTACATGTCTATATGCAAATATAATACACATTTTGGTGTACCCTAAATCCTTTTCGGTCTTAGCTTCCATGATATGACCTTCTCGAACCCGACAACGTTTTTTCAATTAGGTATAAACAGTTAGTGTGTTTTTTTTCAACAGAGATCTTTTCTTTGCGACTCCTTGTCAGACTTGGCAATTTTATGTTCATTCGTTACAGAGGTAGGTTGGGGCACATAGATCACAACACTAGTTCTTTTCGTGTGCTATGAAACCGTCAAAATGACGAAAACACTAACCCACTCGTCCCAAGCAGAAAATACGATAATCATTCAAATTTATTTTATTTTATATTTGTTTTGGCGTCGGTCAGGGTTGACATGAGTGCCGTCGAGGGACAGACCAGTAGATTATCAGTAATATTACGTGGTACCCAGACTTCTAGACTTGTTAGGTGCTACTCGTCTCATCCTGCAGAATTACAGGTATAATAGTCTTAAAAGAAATTATTGTTAATTAGTGTGAGATACTACTATGCATGAGAATTCCCGGTATGGCCCATTGATCTCGTACAGCAGATCAAGGTAAGAGGATAATTGTGCGTCACAGGGGAATGAAAGGCAAATTTCTTTTTAGTTTTTGCTATTTTAAATTACTGGACAACAACAAGAAGCATTATGTCAATAACAAAAATATCTGGTTTATTATATTTCCCGAGAAAATAAACTCCCTCTGTCTTGACTAACTCCAGTTGTTACCCTTCAATTTTGTATATCGCCCCATGTATGGGAATCCGGACTTATGGTGGATTCCGGATTCCAAGGGTCTGGATTACGGATTCCAAAACGTTTGTATTGCGGATTCCGGATTCCATATCGTTAATTTTCAGATACTTTCTCTGAAAATTATATTTGATATACTTACCAGTATAAGTAGAATCGTCTATCGATTAAATCAGCACCTGATGACAGATATTCTTGGTGGACTCGATTCCGGATTCCAAGGCCTAAAATTTCGTGGATTCCGGATTCCCTTACATTGGGCTGTATAGAATATATACATGGGTTTCAATGAAGGTCACATCATCATCGTCCAGGTAGTGGCCAATATGAAATATTATAAATATGTCTGTGATTGTGTTTCAGGTTAGTCCTATGGATCCCATTATGTTGATGGCTAACACGGTACGTGAGGTTACTCTCAGCCTCACCCCACTCTCCTCGGGATCTACTCGCTTTATGTACGTCAACGTCGTTGGTATCCTTTTAAAATTTGTCTAAATGTTCTCTTGAGTAAAATAACCCATTTAGAAATTGATCCTAATGTGTAGCCTAGGCTAGTCAGAGCGTAGTCTTATGTTAAACTTAACTGACAAACCAGCCATTCAGTAAGCTAGCTGATGATCAATAACCCTTTAATCCCATTCCCTTCCTTGGTTTCATAAAAATCCGGCGTTTGAGCCTGTGTTTTTTTTAAATGGATGTAATTAATAATAGAGCAGGAAATGTTTAGCAGGTTTAAAACCACGTAAACTTAGGAACAATTGATTAACCTTCGACCGAATTAGAAATTGTCTAGTCAGTCCAAAAAAGTTCGCCGATGATTTGAAAGCAGCTTGCCAACGACAAGACAGTTGTATTTGTGGACGACATTTCGCGAGTAGACGGGCTCTCGCAAGTGGCATTCATTTAAACCTGGATCCACCTTAGCCTCCTTTGCAGCCGTTCTTTGCGTTGCGTCGTTGCGTGACGACCCTAAGAACGGCTGCAAAGGAGGCTAGATCCACCTTTATCTCTGATAATGCGCCTCCTCCTGTGTTGATAGCCGCTGGACCAGCCATCATGTGTAAGTAGCCAAACTTCCTCCTTCATGTACTAAGTTATGTCCTTGACGTTACACGATAGACAGTGAATTTCATCAGCTTGTTCGCACGTGGTTAGTTTGTGCCTCGTGTCAACAACCAGTCATCTCTAAAGCCTTTGAGCTACAGCTTCAAGTTGGAGGAGGAAAAGGTTCCAATAAGGTAAACCAATATTTTATCAAAGTCAATATCCCTGTGTACACTTGATTTAAAAAATTAATCACCTGCTACCTGTCTTGCTAGTTGTCTCGAAAAACGGTCACTTAAAACTTGAATTGTGTTAGAAATAATTAATTGGGTTTGCATATCTCTTGGTTTCTTTATTTCAAATAGACTTTTTCTTTTTTTTGGTAAATAGACGAACCATTGATCCCTTTTTCACTGCACACTTCTTCCCTTTATTTCACTTTGCCGGAAAGAAAATGCTGTTCTCAGGATATTGTCCACTTATAAAAAGTGTTACCTCTCTAGCAGAGGTCCTATTTCTTTTTTCTCTTTTCGCTGCTGGACAATTCGAGTCGGTTTTGAGTGCACGATTGATCAGGTGCCAGCTTTTTTTGGAGTTCTTCTTGATTGCTAGTGTTCGCGTTACTGGAAACTCAATTCTATTGATGGATTTTTCGTGTTACATCTCAAATTCGCTTTGTAAATCCTTCGGATGAATACCTCAAGAGTCTCGAATAACCTCAAATAGCCTTAAAAAGTACAAATTCTATAAATAATATTTCTGTGTAGTTTTGTACTGGGCAGAAAATATCGTAAAACTGTTTTCAAAAGCAGATTTGCTATCTTCCCGTATCATTGTTGTTATTATTATTAGTTACATTACCATCATTACCATAATGTGGGATAAACCTTAGAAGAATCACTGATTCCATTGTTTTCTTTTGTTTTGTATGGACTGTTAGACATATGATTGCGTATTAGATTTTGTTTTACGGGTTAAGTGCCAATATAGAAATATTGTCATCATCATTATTATCATTATTATTATCATCACAATCATTATTAATACTATCATCATTATCATTATTATCATTATCATTATCATCATCATTATTATTATTATCATTATTATTATTATCATCATCATTAGCGAGTGTCCTTCACCAATCCATACCCTACCAGAAACACCTTTAATCTGCGATGTAACAGGCCTGATATACTTCAGTTTAAAGAAAACGTAATCGAGGTAAGAAAATCATCAGGAAAATAGGGATTTTCTTAGAAACAGTTTATCAGGTATTTCTTAACTCAGTAATATGGGAAAATAATTATCATAGCTGGAAAGAGGGTGTTTAAAATTAATAAAACGGTGAGGTCCGAAGGAAGTTTTTAAAAGTTCAAAACTAGTGAAAATATGATTTTTACAAGAATTTTGTAAGGAAATCTTTGCTGGTAAGCATCTTACTTACCAACAAAGTTTCCTTGTTTGAAAATTCATGTCTTCGCCAGTTTTGAACTTATTTCCTTCAAACTTAGAAGTTTCCCAATTTTGATATGCTCCGCTTTCCAGCTTTGGTAGTTATTCTGCTGTACTGTGAGTTTGGACATCTTTGGAATTACTTGATAAAAGATTTTTTCTTTTCTAAAAGTTCAATGTTAGTAATAATCATAGAACTGAGATCATTGGTACAGAAGATTTCATCATATTTTTTTGTCTCAGAATTCATTCCCACAATCAGTTGCATTATGGGATCATTACCAGTCTTCGTGTATTTTAGACCGAACCCGAACATTATACTGTGTTGTTTGGAAAACTACCGAAATTTTCTGAACCTAAAAATGCCTAATGGTATTACTAGTTTGGTCTGTTTAATTTTTTAAGGTCGGTCCTGGAGAATCATATCATATTGGATTGCGGTTTGCTCCTCAGTCGACGATTGGAAACCAACAAGTCTTGATATTCATCAACGATTCAGAGGGAAAGAATGAAGAGACTTTTAGCATAAGTGCTATTTACAAGTAAAACAAGATTTGTATAGCAACGGAGACAAGTCACGTAATTTATTTTATAGACTTTATTAAACTACATATCTGCCCTAAAGTTGGGAACCTAAACTTAGATATTTTTTCATGATAAGCCAAGTTTTCTCGTTATGAATGGCGAAAATAATCACGTGATCTTTTTATGTCGATGAACGGATGACAAAACCTTTTTACTTATCTCTGTAATGTGATATAAGTGTTTATCTTGCCTTACAGCTCTCTGAGTGTTTATATCCAAATACACAGACATAGGCAGCCGTTATATCTCGGTTTTATAAATGTTTTATCATTTTTGCGCGAGCGTGTCTTTACCCTGACTAATTAAACTATTTATATGTATAAAACTATTTATGTATATGCCTCTAATTTTAACAAGGTAGCCAGTCAATCAGCGCGCGCGTTATATGTCAAATATTTAATCCATGCCCCAATTAGCGAGGACGTTATATTTCAAATATTTGATAAATATGTATATTTAGCTTGTTTTCAGATATAAATTTATTAGAACATTATTTGGCATTGTACTTTACCTATTAATAAATTTGGAAGGCCACACGTTTTTTATTGTCAATTGTTATTGTCACCCTCTCAGTATAAATAACGTTGATTGTTCTCATCATCTTCATCATAATCGTCATTAATATCATCATCATTAATAACATCATCATGAATATCATCATGAATATCATCTTCATCATCAACTATCGTCACTATTATTATATCATCATCGTCAGTATTAATATCATCATCGTCATTAATATCATCTTTCATTATGCAAAATTTTAAAAGAATCTGACGATGGGATCCTTTGCCCTTGAGCGTCCTTAATCTGCAGAATATCACGAATCATCATCATCAACATCATCATTATTATCATCAT